CATGCAGTGCAAGGTGCACACAGAGTGCAGAGGGTGCACATGGGGTGCAGGGGGCACACACAGGGGCTGGGGACTGGGGTGCAGGGCGCACACACAGGGTGCAGGGTGCAGGCATGCAGTGCAAGGTGCACACAGAGTGCAGAGGGTGCACATGGGGTGCAGGGTGCACACGCGGGGTGGAGAATGCTCTCATGGGGTGCAGGGTGCAGGCATGTGATGCAAGGTGCACACAGAGTGCAGGGGGTGCACATGGGGTGCAGGGTGCACACATGGGGTGCAGAATGCTCTCATGGGGTGCAGGGTGCAGGCATGCAGTGCAAGGTGCACACACAGAGTGGAGGGTGCACACACGGGTGCAGGGTGCAGGCACTGGGGTGCAGGGTGCACACACAGGGTGCAGGGTGCATGCATGTGGTGCAAGGTGCACACACAGAGTGCAGGGTGTGCACACGGGGTGCGGGGTGCAGGGACTGGGGTGCAGGGTGCACACACGGGGTGTAGGCTGTGGGGACTGGGGTGCAGAGTGCACACATGGGGTGCAGAGTACACATACAGGGTGCAGGGTGCACACACGGGGTGCAGGGTGCACACATGGGGTGCAGGCACTGGTGTGCAGGGTGCACACATGGGGTGCAGGGTGTGGGGACTGGGGTGCAGGGTGCACACACAGGGTGCACGTATGGGGTACAGGGTGTAGGCACTGGGGTGCAGGGTGCACACACAGGGTGTGGGGACTGGGGTGCAGGGTGCACACACGGGGCGCAGGCAGAGCCTGCCAGGGTCACCTTGGGGCACCCACCGGCAGGCAGGGCTCCCTTCGCCCCACAGGGTTTGGGCGCAGGAGGGCAGGATTGCACCCAGCCGCGGTCGCTTGCACCCACCAAGCTTGATGGCCCCCGGTTAAATTTCAACCCAGCCCGTCCCTGGACTCGGACTCTGGGACAGCTCCGGCTCTGCCCCGGGGATGCTGGGTTAATATTTAGCATCCTCTTCGCTGGGTGCCAGGGGCGAAGGTCCCTCGGGGGCCATCGTGCCTTTGCACGGCTGAAACCGCAGCATCGACCCCCTCCCCGGGGGACCCAAACCCACCCCAGCGTGAGGGTGGCACGATGTGACCAGCTCTGCTTGGCTCCTGGACCAGAAAAAAAAAAAAGAAACCGGCCTGGAAAGGCGTTGTTTTCCTCTGCTTTTTATCGGCTTCTCCCTCACCGGCTGCGAGGCACCCATGGGTGCCGGCGGCAGGGGTGCCGATCTGCAGGGAGGACAGGGTGGGACTCTGGCTGTGCCGGGTGGTGGGGATGAAGGGACAAGAGCTCCCATGCAGGGTCCAGCTCTGGTCCTGGCCTCCCCTCCTCCAGACCTTGCTCGCTGGCCCCGTTTTGGAAGCAATTAACTCGGAAAAGAGAAAAGAGGGGGAAAAAAAAAAAAAAAGCCCTTGGAGATTGGGAACTGCAGAACAAAAGCTGCCCATAATTAAAGTGCAACTCTTTTCTTTTTAAACGGAGAAGAAAGAAGACCCAAAAAAAAGCCTCCACCTGATTTCTGCCGGGCCTGAGATGCGGCTTGAACGGCTCCCGAGGCTCAGACACTCGAGCTCCAGCAAGGCCCTCCTGCCTCAGTTTCCCCACTGCTGCAGGGGAGGTGGCAGCTCTGGGAGCCCCCCCAGGCGCAGGCAGCTCTGGGGAGGAGTGCAGCGGGCAGGGGGTGGGGGGAAGGCTCCAGCCACCAGCCGAATTTCTGGGTAAAGCCCAACCCCACGCTCCGGCATGGGCTCAGAGGCAGAGCCTCACTGGCCACCCCTCCCGCACCGCCGCAAGGGAGGCTCCTTGCAGGCTGGGAGTGCACTGCAGTCTGGGTGTGCACTGCAATTTGGGAGTGCACTGCAATCTCGAAATGCACTGCAATTTGGGAGTGCACGGCAATTTGGGCGTGCACTGCAATTTGGGATTTGGGTGTGCACTGCAATTTGGGAGTGCACTGCAATCTTGGAGTGCACTGCAATCTCGAAATGCACTGCAATTTGGGAGTGCACTGCAGTCTGGGAATGCACTGCAATTTTGGAATGCACTGCAATTTGGGAGTGCACTGCAATTTGGGAGTGCACTGCAGTCTGGGAATGCACTGCAATTTCGGAATGCACTGCAATTTAGGAACATACTGCATTTTGGGAGTGCACTGCAATTTGGGAGCTCGTTGCAATTTGGGAGCTCGTTGCAATCTGGGAATGCACTTGTGGCATGGATGTGACAGTGCAGAGCGTAGCTGCTACAGCAGGAAAATCCAGCAGGCCCCCGCTGCTGGGCCAGCTCCACGCCCGCCGCTGCAGAGGTGCCGGGGGGGATGCAGAGGGGGACGTCTCCCAGCTCCCATCCCCATTCCGGCTGCTTTGGTGAACCCCTCCAGGCCCCAGCAGCCGATAACCCCGTGCCACCCCGGTGCTGCAGGAGAGCTGGCTGCGTTGGGGGTCCGCAGCCCTGCCCTTGGCGTGCAAACCGCACGCTCCAGCGTGGAAAACCCCACAGCAGCACCCGTCGGCATCATGCGCCCGTGATTTCCATGGGCTGACGACTGGCAATGCCCAGGGGGTTGAATCCTTCCCTGGGCTGGATGCATCCCCGGGGGCTGCCGAGAGCCCCAGCCCAGCTCTGCCCTTGCTGCCCGCATCCCTCCAGGGGAGCCGACCGTGATGCGCCGGGGCGTTTTCCATCCCCCCAGCAATTTCCCTGATTCACAAATACATTCACAAAATGCTTCAGCACCTGGCAAAAACGCCGCTGTTTGGGTGGGTGTCGGGGTTTGGGTGGGGTTTTTTAATTCCTTCCTTTTAATTGAATTATTTCATGCT